GTGAATTATGATGCTTAATTGGAACATAATCTGACTAGACCATGGAATTTGTCGGTAATAACTTGCTCTGAGTAAAACTGTGTCATCTCTACTCAATCTAGTTTGGTTTGTCCTGTGCAAATATTGGTTCTTGTTTACATCAAATTGATGCTTTCCTTTGGATTGATAGTCAATATAGTGAGCGCCTTGAGTTAGGGGAATCCTGATTGTGACTCTTATTACCCATCAGAAAGACTAGTTCAATCCAATGTATTCCCATAGTCATTGTCTCATTATGAGCATTCCACTACCGGTGAATATGAGCCATATACCGTATGATTGATCTTTACAAAATTTGTTCCCCTTCTCCTTTGATTTGTTGTATTCTTATTGTCTGAGGCTGTTGCAGCAAACGCAGGCACTGGCATCATTGATGATGGCTGTGTTGCTGCTCTCCTTCTGAAGAGGTAGATCCCTGATATGATCATTATAAGGTTTCAACTGCCAGAATGAGAATTTAATGTTTCTAATCTTGTCTGTACATGGTGCATAAAATTTCAGGGCATTTTCCAAGATTGAATTTGAAGATGTTCGGAAACTTGCAGCTGAACTCTGTGGTCGTCTGTATCCTCTGGTGAATATCAGCTTACAAGCATATATTTGTGATTATGTATCCATTCACACGAAGTACGGGTTACAGGGTCCATTTTCAGTGATTACTCTGACATTGAGTCACTCAAATAGGATATCAGCATAGCTGTCCATGAGTACACTCGAGCTATCTATATTTTCCCGACCTATCAAATCTTTTGAGGATCAGTTTTGTCCTCTAAGCCAAGATGCCTTTATGTATGCTAGTTAACAGCCTAATTAAATGGGCTAGTTTTGGAAGATAGGTAGTTTAGAGGGTTTCAGAATTGGAGTACCTACTTTTGCTTTATATATTATTGTTGCTTCTTGAGTTTCTCTGGAGAATGTAACAGGAAGAAATCAAGGTGTTTACATACCGGTGGTTGTTTTCGTAAAAACTCTAATTTTTTTTTTGATTTTCCAGGTACTTTTTCCAATTATACGCTTCCATCTGGAAGATGCTGTGTGTCATCAGGACATACTAAAGATAAAGGCTTGTTTGTTTTCAGTCTGCACCTCTCTTGTGGTAATGTGCTTTTAGTGTGTTTGGTTGACCATGTCATTTTCTTAGTTTATGTGCAACTCGCCTTTTTTTTTTCCCTTTAGAATCTACCCATGTGCTTTAGTTTAATTCATAGCCTACGTGATGCATTTGAAGACACCACTTTTTTGTCTGCTCTTTTTGAGGTTGAGTTTGGAACCTTACTTGCTCGTATTTACACTAGTAGGTTAGGGGCGGAGATCCTACATTTGATCATGTGATGCTCGAGATCATAAAATTTCTTGAAGTGGTTCTACGTTGGCCTTCGCTTGATGTTGATGATGGTACAAACATATTTTGCTATTCAACCATCATATCTTTTGTCGTATAAGTTAGAGACTTGATATTTCCTTTCATTTCAGTTTCGAAGGCACAGCATGGATGCATTGATTGTCTAGCGCTTATGATTTGTGGTGAGCTACAATCCCCAGAATTGTTCAGTGATTTTGACTTGAGGAAAATCACCTTTTCTAGGGGGAAAGGTAACCCAGACTTCTTGTCAACTGTGTGATTTTGTGTTGATGATTTTAGGATTTGACCTATGGCTTGATGTGCAGGGAAAACTGACTCTTGCTCTGTTCTCAGTCATGTAATCTGTCAATTGATAGCCAATGAAGTTGAATCCACTTCTGGTTTGAGCAATGAGCCCTTGGCCCTACCATTCCGATTATGCATGGCTAATGTTCTTATCAGTGTGTGCCAGAAGATAGCAGAAGGTGGCAAGAAATCCTTTTCTCAAAAAGCAATTCCAGTTCTCATTGATACTATTGAGGTACACTTTATTATATACGGTATTGAAGTTTACATATGAGCTCAGCTCTTTGACGTTTTCCTATAAATGGGATAAAAGGATACCAATTATAATAATGCAGGTGATACAGGATGCTGAGATTAGAGCTGCCTGTATTCAGGTTTTATTTTCAGCAGTCTACCATTTAAAATCTGCTGTGCTTCCTTATTCATCTGATCTTCTGAAGCTATCTCTAAAATATCTTGAAGAAAGGACAGAAAAGGTACTGAGATTTATTTTGCATATATTTATTTGAATCTGTCATCTACTTTTTGTAATCTGCAACTGCAACGTATGATCACATTTTTTCTCCATGAGTTTCTTCCGTCCTCTTGCTGTGTTTGTGTTTCCCCCGTCTCTTTCTCAGTGAAGTTGGTGACATGAAATATTGCATGTTATGATTCAAACGCTGACATGGGGAGGCTTTACTGCTACAAAATGTTTGTAGAAAATGGCCAAATTTGCATGTAAGGCGTGAAATGTGTTGATTCCACATGAATCCTTACCTCACTGTCCTCTGAAATTTTTAATATGAAAGAAGCCTAAAGAATATAGGCCTAGGAAAACATGATATCGGTCTGATAGACAATCTGTTGAAGTCTTTATGTTATACAGATGTTTCTTATTGTGATGAAGCCAGTTTCTACATACAAACTGTGTGTATGCAAGTCCCACCAGAGCTAAACCCAGTGCTTTAAGGCTATTTACAAAGTAGTTCATAATTTGCTCTGATAGAGTAGTTTAACTTGCTCTCCTTGGTGTGGTGAAAATGTTGGAGAAGACATTTTCCACTGATTAATATGCTGAATTCATTGTTCAAATTCTTGTTCCCTCGTGACAAAAGCTCTCACTTCTATTGGAATAGGAATGGCTATTGTAGTTGGTAGATGGATGAGTGCATGCTCATAATTGATTTGCGGTTTCTATTTAAGCTCCCTTTGTCGCGAGGGGGAAAATTTAGGTGTCGACACCCGTCATGTTGAAAGGCTGTAATTTCTCTCAGGAAAGAATGGCTGCTGCAAAACTAGTGGCATCTCTTATGGCTAGTGAAGATGCGATTTTGGTTAGCATATCAGGTGGACTAGTGGAAGCAAGATCTGTACTTTCAACTCTATCAAGAACTGATCCTTCAAAAGACGTACGAGAAACATGCAAAAAACTGGTAATGTGCATATCGTCCTCTTGAATTTGGTCCCTGCACTCATTTTCTTGGGCGAAAAGTGCTTTGTCAGACTGCTTGATGAAATTCATCTCGCAGCTGCACTGCACTTAAAGTTATCTTCTTCTCTTATATTGAGAAGTATAGAAAGAGCTGTTGAGAGGCTCCTGTGAAGTTAAATAGGAATGCCCATCTTCTTAGGTGATGATGAAATACAAAGTTTTGGTCGTATCATCATACCTTCAGATAGTTGTAAGTTAAAGAAAAGTTAATGATGGGCCAAGCTAGTTTTCGGTTGAAGTCACTTTTTTTTTTTTTTTAAAGTTAATTTTCTTTTAGTGTACTGCGCCGTTTCGCCATGAGTAAGTCGGCATTGCAGATTGTCTTTCTCTGTGACCAAATGTACTTTTATACGTCAAGTGACATGGTAACGAATACCGATGCCTCACTCATGACTGAGATGTGCATGTATCTTTATGGTCTCTTTTCTTGTGTTTTGTAATGGTGTGATTTGTTAATTCTGTAGTAGTCCTAAGGTTTGTGATGTTGCGACAGAAATATTATACCGATTCTCTCATCAAATTGTGACAGTTGATGGTTAACGTTGCTCCCTGCACGGTCCCATTTATCTTTTCGTTCGTTCTTCTCGGTTCCTGCTTCCGCCTTCCCGTTTCTCGCTCTCATACTGATTTGCGTCCGACGTAATGAAGCTGCTCCAGTTTCCCAATTTCGCGAAGTTCGGAAGCTATTGGAATGCACAAGTACTTGGTGCTTAGCAATTGCTATCTTGAAGAAGAGAATGGTATCTATTATAACCCGTGATATATCCAATGTCATGCGTACAGCCATCTCACCTCATAATCGATTTTTCCATTCTGTTAGATGAAAGATGGGCCAAATCCTATCAGATCGTCGCGAACCTTGTTTATCGTTGAAGCTTCTCCTTATAGCTTTTCATGAGCCAATCATGGCTGATTACGATGCCATTGTTTTCCGTAGAACTTATCCCGCTTATCAGCCATTGCTGCACTCGTGCACACACTAGCATAAATAAAAGGATGTCGATCCGCAGTACACTGTAGTTCCTGGAATCTATAAAGTATGCTATGTGGAAAAAGTAGGCAAAAAAAGGTGGTTGAAGCATTTATGCCTGACAACTTTATTCTCTCTTTTGAAACGTTGGACAAATATTGTATCCTTTCGAACTTGGCCTGAGATTGAGATAGATAAGTGTAAGGTGAGGGAAAGCCGAAACAATCCAATGACAAGGACCAAGAACCCAAAAACAGTGACGGAGAAGTGGAACCGGGAAAAGGGGAAACGCCTTTAAATCGTAAATACATAAGATAAAATATAAGGTGGGGTAGGAAGGCAAAAACTTCAGTTCCAAGTGAACCCGACCCGACTCTTCTTTTAACTTATTATTTTCTGTTCCACTTGTCGAGAAAATGATACAAATGATTCATAAATTTTGATTCAATATGCAATGTGATTCTTGAATTTTTTATTTGTTTAATATGGTTCTTGAACTTTTAATTTGTTTAAGATGATCCTTTAACTTTAGCTCAACGTACAATATCATTCCTGAACTTTCAGTCTGTTCAATTTAGTCGATGGACTATATGAAAATATTTAATGTTGTCCTTGAATTTGAATTAATGAAAAGACAATATTGAAAATTTTCATATAATCAAAGGACTAACTTGAACATGTAACAAAATTTTAGAGACCACATTAAACAAATTGAAACTTTCCATTGCGCTAAAATTTAAGGACTAAATCAAATAAATTAAAAATACATAAATTATATTATATATTGAATGAAAATTCAGGACACTTTGCGTCCTTATTACCCACTTGTCGTGCATATTCCTCTCCTTCCTCAACACTCTTCTCTTCTTCACTTGCCACGATCACACACACCCACCCTCTCTCTCCCTCGACACAATAAGTCTTTCTCACAACCTCACTACCTGTTTCCGCAACAGAAGAAGAGCACCACCACCCACAAGAACCTCGCACAAACCATCCACTCCCCATCCCAAGATGGCCGGTGTCGGGAAAGTCCCTTCCAAAAATGCACGTCGATCCGTGCTCGTGGCCGTCACCGTCCTCCTCCTCCTCGCCGGCGTCACGGCCCTTATCGTCTACCTTGTCAACCGCCCCGAGCGGCCCCGCTTCTCCGTTGTTGGCACCGCCGTGTACGACCTCAACGCCACGTCCCCGTCCGTCATCTCCACCACCATGCAGTTCACGCTCCTCATCAGGAACCCCAACCGGCGGGTCTCCATCTACTACGACCGCCTCTCGGCCTTCGTCTCGTACCGGAACCAGGCGATAACCCCGCCGGCGTCGCTGCCATCGCTCTTCCTCGAGACGCGGAGCACGGTGGAGATGTCCCCTGTGCTGGGCGGGGCGGCGGTGCCCGTGGCACCGGAGGTGGGGAACGGGTTGGAGGTGGACGAGGCGTACGGGGTGGTGGGGCTGAGGGTGATGGTGTTGGGGAGGTTGAGATACAAGGCGGGTGCGATAAGGACGGGGCATTACGGGTTTTACGTGAGGTGCGATGTGTTGGTGGGTTTGAAGAAGGGCTTCGAGGGTCAAGTGCCTCTGCTGGCCTCTCCTCCATGCAAAGTTGATGTGTAGAAGTGCGATTGTACGTGAAAAAGTCGATAAACTAGGCCTTGCTTGTAATTAAGTTTTTACAAGCTTGCTTGCTTCTTCCTCTTTTGTTAAACTATGTTAAGCAAAAAATATACGTTGCAGCATAACTTTACCCTTTGAATGCATGATTCTTTTCTCCCCCCTCTTCTTCAGTTTGCTAGGGATGAGTTAGGTCAATCTTTCTATATGAATTGTGAATGAGCGGAGCTGCTGCTGCTTCTTCTTCTCCTTCTTCTTCTCATGGCCACCACCTCCACGAGTCTCCGATTCTACAGGACCCACGTAGGGAGATGAGTCAGCGTCAACACCGGACACGTGTGGCCAACCATGCTGTTGACCACGTAGTGTTTGTTGTTCATGTCGTCTTCTTCAGTTTATACGCCATGCATGTACCTCATGAGCTAAGTTTATCTCTGGTGAGTTTCTGTTTCACCAGATTACCCATCACTAATACCGCTAGTAAATTCCAACCATCTAAGCCAATGGTTAAACACTACTGGTCATGGCCAAAAACCACAAAAGTCGTGCTGGTTGGAGACGTATCTGCAGCTACCGCGAGGAAGGTCATCATCCACATGCATTTCCCACGCAATAACGAACATCTTGCAAGTACAAAACTTCTAACTCGGGCATTGTTACAAGTGGTGGGTCGCTTATTAAAAATTTGCCTAGGTATCAGGCAAAAGCTCCAATCCAAAATGAGGGGCGCTCGCCGTTAGAAGTTCGAACATCACGAGAGCGACAAAAGCAAAAGCAATAAGATGGTTGGGCTCCGACCAGCCCGGCCCACTCGTGTAATCAAACAATTACAGGCTTTTCCGGGTTTGTTTGTTTGTTTGGTTGGGTTGCAAGGAGGTCCAATTTCAAGTTTTAGTTTATACGTATTGGTCCCACTAATCCAGATCTATCCCCATGGCATCGTTGCCTTTAGGTACATGAGATCTGATGTTACAGATGTTAATCCTACGACATGATTGATTTAGCAAATAGACGTGGTTCATGAGACCGATGACAGGAGAGATTGCCGGATCACTTATCATCCGGGTGATCTCGGCTTGTGCGTGTACGTGCGATTCGAAGCAGTTCGCATGTAATTGGTGAGATTCGAATGTTAACCTCTGGTTCATCGACTAAAAATCCTCCAACATCTCAACCAACTCAGCTGCCATCGAGGGAGGTGTTCCATCTTACGAAGGTTGATAGTACGACGTGATTAATTTTCGCAAATGGAAGTAACGATGAGCCCGGGGCGACGGAAAGATCGACCTTAGCGAAACACTCATATCATTTAGGCGATCTCGGTCCTTGTCGAGGTAGCTTCCGGCATAAAGAACCCAACTACGGCTAGGTAGTCGGTGACGACGAAATAACCGATACCGTAAGTCACGACTAGGCCTATCAAACTCGATAATTCATATCAACAGTTCTCAATTCATTCTCACGAGATGAGCGGGAATCCAAGCCCCGTTCTCGGGACTCAACTCGGCGCTCCGTGAACTCCAAATCTAGATTATCGTAAAAATCCGAACCCTAGGAGTCCGTCGATCGACGAGCTACAACCGGAAGGCACAATCGAATTAAACTTTCGGTGATTACGTAAGTGGCGGTGGTCTCTCGAATGGGATTGGTCATCTACCCTATTCTCTGGAGGCCACAAAGGAGAAAAACCCACTAAACGCGCCGCCGGTATGATCTCCGCCGGCCGGCCGGCCGGCCACGTCGCCAGTTATGCCAAAACAAAGGGTCCACGCAATCATCTTCTTAGCCACTAATGACCATCCATTTGAAGGGAGGAGATTCCACTAATGACCATCCATTTCCCCCGACTTTGGGCCCCACCAGTGGTTGATCACTCTTGGGATGCATTTGATTTATAAACTACTATTATCCTCTGCATTTCTTTTCTCTCTCTTATTACTGCTCAAAATCAATTTTGGGGGCTAAAATTACTTTTCGAAAAATTATCTTTCTAATTTTAATTGCGAGTGTGCATTTTCTTTATTTTTTTTTATTTTTTTTATCATAGATGGTTCTGATTTTTTGTTGACCGATTGTTTTCATCAAGCCGAACGCGCCGAAAGTCTAGAAAATCAATTCCCGGAGAATTTCTTTTGCTTATATGAACACGCCCGTAACGACAAAAGCTGCGTTGAGATTGTAGGAAAGAAATCTTTTTTTTATATCGGGTTAATACTGTAATTAGACGGGACCCACGTGTTGGTCAACCTTGACGGGTTGACTTCCTCTGTGCTCTGGATTTCAAAAGTTGGCATCCATTTGGGCCAGAATCTCTTCATCATTTCCAAAATTTTGGTCAAACTTCAGGCCCCCCTTTTTCAGGTCAAAGCTCTTCCCAAAAACAAATTTAGAAAGAAAAATAAAAAGAAATTACCTTCGAATTTCGTCCCTTTAATAATCGTTATCTAACCTTTTTTAATATCTAAGTATAAAAAAAAGAAGCTGGAATTATAAAGTACGAAACCATACCTTCTCTCTCTCTCTCTAAAAATCCAATCATCGTACGCCTCAACGCCCACCATCACCCAATCAACCTCCCAATCTCTCTCTCCAACGACGACGGCGACGGCCGACGACTCCATAAGCTTCGCCGGAGCTGCGGACCGCCTCGCCCGGATCAGCGACTAGCGACGGTGGTGTTGGGCCCGGTTATTATGCTGCAGCTGTTCCTCGCGGTGGCGTTCTCGGCGGTGCCGCTGACGCTCTACGTGCCGCCCATCAGGAGCCTGAACCTCTTCGTCGAGACCGTCGAGGAGCTGCTCCGGCAGACCACCCTGTACACGCTCAGGGCGTACCCTCGCATCCGCCTCGCCTTCACCCGCCTCTACGACTCCCTCATCCGCCTCTCCAGGTAGATAGGCAGGCAGTTCTTGATTTTCTTGGTTCTTGTCTTTCTTGTTCTTGTAAATTCGGCCGATCGTTAGCCGTCACACGGTCGGAATCGATTTCAATTGTAATATCTCAGTTAGGGATTACGCACGATATATAGCTTCCTTCTCCGGATCTCGATTCGTTTCTTTCGTTCGATCGCTTCTTCCATTGAAGCTCTGCTTCGGCTTGATGAAGGAAGGGATCTGAGGTTGGAAATATCACAGCTCGCCATTCTTTTTGTATGTTAAGCAAACGAATCCATTCCCATGTGGGTCTTTCGTCTTCTCTTCTCATTGCTGTGGGTGGGGGGTTGATTGATCCCGTCTTTTCTGGGAAAGCGAGATGAGATTCTTGATAAGATCGTGAGGCTGAGCTTTGAATTTCCAGGGCACTGTCCATTTCTCTGTCACCGCCCCCCTCATTCATTGTACTTTCTATGAATAATTAATGGAGATGGGTGGATTGACTTTGATGTTCATGTGGTCATCAACTCATTACGCATTACGGCACAGAACAGAAGCAGGTAGGAGGAGGATGGGTTTGGTGGGGGCATTCATGCACCTAGACCTAACCTAGTTTTTCTTTTCCTATGCAAAGGATGTCATTGGGATGGACCCGATGCAAGAATTTGATGATGAGAAACCCATGTGGGTGAATGTAATAGCATCACGCCGTGAATTCGAGATCGTTGTTTGTCCTGTCAGACACAACCGAGCAATCGTTTTTCTGGTACAAGCAGATGAGGCACGATGTCTGCATCTTTGCTTACAGTGGTTTCTTGGTCGTGAGCGGCAGGACACTGGCGCGAATTCTTGATCCCCTGTTTTTGCCGTGGAATTCTCTTTATTGGAAGAGAGTGACGAGGGGGAAGCTCGTGGCTTGCAGCCTTCGTCATATGACTGATGTGCTTGAGACTTGAGAGAGGCGCTTGATTTTTGTTTCTTTGGTTTGCTTAGCACGCTTTGAGATGGTATTGAACGCGACCCATCTGTTCGTTTTATCAATCCGAGCAGCTAAAACAGATACTGTTCTAGAATTTGTCCTCTAATGAATGTAGTCTTCGCCCATTTCGTACGCCTTTCGGCTTCAAGGGCTTGGGCTATGATTTGATTGGCTGCGGATGCATCGAAAGATTTCCTGTGTTTTTTCCTTTCGGGAAGTTGTTAATTCGTGGCATGACGGTCGGCACCGCCACCACTGGTCTGGTGGGGGCCAGCGGACGTTCGCCGCCCACCGCCGCGAGTCACGGAATATCCCGACCACCTAGACTGGTGGTTGGTCGGTTGGGTCTCGCTTGGGCCAATCGCTCCACGGTGGGCTCCTGGTGTATCCCCGATGGTTCTAGACTCGAGTGCCCGTGTTGGGCGGTGGGTGTAACGATAATGCATAGGCGGCATGTGAAGAAATGGGTCAATAAGATGCGAGATGAATACAATATATTAACACGAGGCGATCGAGGTGCATATCGTGCGAGTCTTGTGATTGGTTGATTACATCGTATCAATCGGGCAATGGAGATACAAAAATATTTTCTTCATTGCTCCGACCCCGCCGTTTGTTGCCTTATTGATCGAGTGTTGATTGGTTGGGATCTAAGTGCTTGCACGGTTTAAGTATCCAATTAGGTCCTTATTAAAGTATGTGTATGTGCCGGTCATGCTTAGTAGATTGGTGGGCGTCCGCGTCAGTAATTTTTTATCATAATTTTTTGGCCGGAATGGCTAAATTGACAGATCGTTCAAAAATTTAAGACTAAATTAGCACAATTAAAAAATTTAAAATTACATTAATCGTCGTACCGTTGAAGACTTTTCGAACGATTTTGTCGAAAGCATAGAGTGCATGGTCGGTGGACCCCGTGATTCGAGTTTCTGGAGTGTGTGAGGACCACGTTTTTGTGACGACCTTTAGCATGGCTTTGCGGAGTACGTCGTGTCACCGCACGATCCACAGGTTGGAGAGCAACGTTTTATCGGCCCCAAAACAATGGGCTCCGACACCTTCGCGAATCTTTCGCTTTCGTATCCAAGTCCCATACGTAACTCTAAGCATTTGAACACGATCCCCTAGTACTGCCATGTGTAATTTTGCAATTTGATGACGTTTATCGAAGCGCCCTCCGTCCGTCCAGTGCTACTACATTCGGGCCAGAACAACGAGCTGCGCGACCTTTGGACTCGAGTGTAATTCGAGGTCTTACATAGCTGATGCTAATCCTATGTTTAAGACTTGATCATGGTCATGGTGGCGCGCTAAGGCCGCCTGAGCCAACAATGCTCGAAGCGCGATGTGGACAGACTCGGACCTCTCGGGCACGAGCTCGCGAACCGGTCTTTCTATTTTTATATTGTTAAACGGATGGCTAAGCCTGGATAGAGTTTATAAAGCCCGATGTCCCATTCGGTGGCCCATTGATCGAGTGCATACGTACGTTTGGGATGAAAATTTGAGCAAACTATGTAGAATTGGGTCGTCATGAAAAAACGGAAGAACGCATGGACTGAAATATAAGTAATTTTATAAGTATGGAGATCACGTATGCTCCACGTGTCAGTTGTCGGAAATTACTAAGCTATTTCCGTAAGATTTAGTATAGAACTTATGGCCTTCGACTGTGGTCGGAGAATTATGGAAACTTATCGCAAAGGAAAGTACGGGGGGATTCCTATTGATCATTTCGGAAAATGCCAGCAAGTTTTTAGTAGGGACAGACGGAGACTTAAGTGAACCAGGCACATTTATGGCCTTTTTCATTGATTGAGCAAATTTTAGGTACTTTTGAGGTAAATTTATTAGAATTCTGAACAGTCACAACTAGAGGTGATCATTGAGCATGCTTGGGCCGGGCCTAATGTGTTGCCCAAATTTACTCATCATATAAAACTTATGTAAAAATTTCTGGCTGGAGGGAGAGTGTGCCTAGATTCTCTAAGCATTGCCTAAGCGACCTGTTTACCTCTCGGGACTCTCGGGCTTGGCGGATCGCTCACCCATTGACCATTTCTAATCACAACAAGCAATGGTTGCTGGGTCGTGCCGAGCTAGTGCCCGTGGTTTGCCGGGTGGGCTTGGACCGCCACGAGCCCAACTCTTTTTTTTTTGTTTTTCAATAGTGATTGAATGGTCATACCTAAACATAATGCATCAATTGTTTATATTAATTGATTTTGTCACTATAATCAATTTAAAGAATATTAAAAAAAAAAATACCAGGCCCGGGCATTACGTGCCCCGGCCTAGGGCGCGAGCCGGCACGGCCCGTCATTGTCACGGCCTGAATGTACCGGGGCCACGCACGGGCTGGCCCGGGCACCGCCCGTGGCCATTGTTAATCCCAATTATTAATTTTTAAGGCATAAAATTCAGAAGGGATGGTTCCTACCGCATTTCAAGGTGTGTCTAAAATTTGTTCCCGATTTGCTGCGGATCTCAGTGGATCAAAACCTCGTGGGAGCATATCTTTTTCGTCTCACCTTTTGCTCAAGTAACTCCGTGACTTTCATTCTCTGAACAACGGCAATAAGCTCCACCAATGAGTGACTGAGAGTGACTCCTCACAGCTTCCTTCTACGAGAGAGAGAGAGAGAGAGAGAGAGAGAGAGAGAGAGAGATGCATGGGATAAAGGTGAAGCCCCGGGTATCAGGAGGGACGCATCTGCATGTGAGAGCTCGAGCTCGAGCTCGTGAAAGTGGAAAATGTGGTGAGGTGGGGAGCAGCTCCTTCCTCATTCTTGAAAATTCATGCATGCGTCCTCTCTTCTCTTTCACATATGACATAATTGACTCCCTGCCCTTCCATCCATTAATATCTATGGAATCCAAAGCGAAGCAGTGTCTCATGCTTTACTCGAACCGTCGTCCCCCTTTATCTCAACTCAAGAATCTATCATCCCGTGCACGTAGATAGAGTCTGGCCAAACTGTTGTGCGCGCCGGAGTGTGAGCTGTCGTGATGTCTATATGCGTGATTACCGCCATTAACAATGTATCGTGTATTATGATAAACTCGAATAGCCCCGTCACATGCGCGAGTGCTATCAGCAAATTGTTGTGGTCAGTAGGATTCGCCCGACATCTACGTGGTAGTAATGGGAATCGGTTTTTCTATTCAGAAACATTATCGGATGATGGTCTTTTGAGCCAAGCTTAAGAGTCGAATTGTTTTTTTTTTTGGGGGCTGCAATTGACTTGACCTATTAGGACGAGCCTATTTATGCGCTCTCTCTCTCTCTCTCGATTGCGAGATGCCAATAAAGAGAGAGGAAGGCTAATTTGACTTTCACCAGCTAGCCGTTCACATTAAAGATCAGAGGATGATATTCATGAAGGGTCACAGAACAATGTAAGAGAAAGCAGCTACACGCGATGATGACTCCACTTGAGCCTTCTTTTGTCCCTTCCTCGAAGGTGAAACCTGATTACCATTCATATCTCTGACTTCGCTCGTGCTTCCGGGTTGACTTGTGACTCCTGACTGGACGACCAAAGCTTGGAAATTCATCTTCTTCTTGAGCACGACGATGACCATTACAGATCACCTCTTGGAGCTACAGCAGTTGGAAGAGAGGGCAGTGAGATCGAACATGTTCAGATGATGAAGTGAGCTGGTTTTACTAGCCTTAAATGTGCAGACATTATCTTCCCCGAGAAGATAAGAAGATGATAACTTTGTCTCCTATTGTTAATACAGACTCATAGAATATGATTGGCTAATCTTCGTGAGAATTGTATCCTTCAAGAAAGATAATCATTCCACTATTTAGGTACTCATGTTTTTGGATGTATATGTTCATCCTCCTCCAGAAACCATAAACTCCAGAGACAAAGGATGAGAAAATCACTAGTAAGATTACATTTAAATGGAGAGATGGCTCCTGGACAATAATGTTTTCCAGGCAGAACACCCTAAGCCTAATCCACAGTCCTACATATGTAGTGAGGTCCAAACTATCAAAGTTGATGTCTACACACAGGTAAATGTTGCAGTCTTTCCTTCCTACACTCACATAACAAGCTAGTGATATTGCTTATGCACATTTTACTAAACCTCGGCTAAGCAAATATTAAGCAACCAAACGGGATCCCGGCTTTCGGCGCGACATGTTTGACGACGCGCGTAAGCGTCTGCGTGTGATCTTAATTTGTGCATGAATATGCACATTAATTATTCGATTAACAAGATCATGCGCAAACACTCGTTCCCGAAATGAAGATTTCATCCATAAAAGCAATTAATGGAGATAAAGCGTCAAAGCAACAAGAAAAGAAAATTTAATCCAAGCACATAAAGGGAAGAAAAAGGGGAAAGTTTGAAAATAATAGGAGCAAATATGCTCTCTCACTAACGGTCACAGCCTCATGGGCTTGACGAAACTTTTCCCTCGAAACGTGACTTCATTTAAACCCAAAACGCCAACCCCCCCAATCTCTACATATCCCGCGCCCTTTCACCACAGAATTCTTGCACTCTCACTCGCTCACTTCAGTTCACTTCACTTCACTTAGAGCTCACACTCTGCCTATAGAAACAAAGAAAGATGGAAAATTCAAGAAAATCTCCAATGAAACCATGGAAAAAAGGCCCTGCGAGAGGCAAAGGCGGCCCTCTGAACGCCTCGTGCTCGTACAGGGGCGTGCGTCAGAGGACGTGGGGTAAGTGGGTCGCAGAAATAAGAGAACCCAAGAAGAGGACCCGACTCTGGTTGGGCTCCTTCGCCACTGCCGAAGAAGCGGCCATGGCTTACGACGAAGCTGCTCGGAAATTGTACGGGCCCGATGCTTATCTCAACCTACCCCACCTCCACCATCAACCGCCCCCCAACTCCTCCATTTTATCATCGAACAGGTCTCTGCATCACAAGTTCAAATGGTTCCCATCCAAGAAGTTCATCTCCATGTTCCCTTCATGTGGACTGCTCAACCTGAGTGCTCAGCCCAGTGTCCATGTCATCCACCAGAGGCTGGAAGAGCTCAAGAAGAACGGAGGCTTTGGTGGCGCAGCTTCTCCTTCCTCATCTTCCTCGAACTCGAGAATCGACGCTAGGAGGAAAATCGACGTGGAAGTCGGTAAGTCAAAGGAGAAGGAGGTCGAAATTTCGTCGGAGAATGCAGTGGTGGCAGGGTATCAGCAAGAGAAGCCTCAGATTGACCTAAATGAATTCCTTCAGCAGTTGGGAGTCCTGAAAGAAGACAGCCAGTCGGAAGAAGTTGTTGACGTGAATGGAACTGAGGAAGGTTTGTTCAAGGATTATGAACAAATAGTGGCTTTTGATGAGAAGGGATTCAATTGGGATAGTTTGATGGAGATGCATGGTTATGCTGATCAACAGGTTTATGCAGAAGGCAGCACTTGCCAGGTTTATGATATTGCTGAGGAGCTCACTTTGCCTTCCACCATCTGGAATTTCTGAAAGGAGCATCTGACAGTGACACTAGGAAATAGTCTTCATACGGATCATTACAGAGTTCAATATGAGAGAGAGAGAGAGAGAGAGAGAGAGAGAGAGAGAGAGAGAGAGAGAGATTTTTTTTTAGTCTTATGATCAATCGGAATACTGACAGTGTAGAATGTTGATCCCGCAATTTTCAGCATTTATTTTCACCTTGCACTATATAGTATATACTTCAGTGTTTAGACCTCATGAAGTCACAGAAAACTTGAACAGAAAGCTTGACTAAAGTTAGAATACAGTCATCGTGGTTCTATAATATTCCGCTCTCTTGGGTGAGAAATACTAGCTGCGTTTGGTAGTCCAGAGCCTAAAAGAATCAAAATGCTAAGACTGCCAAAAGAGAGCTCAGTAACCATCATAATTTAATTATATTTGAAAACAATTGCCATCAATATCTCAATATGCAGCGTTAGACATAAGCATCATTAAATCAAGATAGACTACTCAGGCTTGGCGACCTTCAGATTACTCCGTAGACTCAATTCACAATAACATTCTTTTTTCAGGTGCCGAGATTCAAGGCCCTAAAAATTAGTCCAAAACCTGAATGACAAGTACCCCAAAGGACTCCGACCAAAAAAATAAGTACCCCAAAGGACAGCAATGACAAAGGCTACACCTAACCAGACAGTTTGCTTATTCGTTGCAATACTCTGAGGCACTTTGATACTCGCCATGCTCCTCAAAGTACTCAATTAGTCGCTTCAAGAATCCATCACTACTCACTGTTTCGGTATCACAGATGAGACAACACTGTCTTCTTGCCCGTGTGACAGCCACATTCATTCGCCTGCGGTCACTCAGGAAACCCACCTGCAATGAAAACAGAAATGGAGATGCAAAAAATATTTCTCCATATCGGTCCTATGCTGAAGTAAAATGACTCGGGAACAGAGAAACAGACTAATGGATTATAAACAAGAACTACCTCTTTCTTTGAATTTGAGCGAACCATTGAAATAATGATTGCTTCCTTTTCCCGACCTTGAAAACCATCCACTGTGGAGATTTCCATATCCTTAAGTTTATTTTGATTGCCTTTCAGCATCTTCAATAAAACCACCTTCAGGACCAATGAGAGGCATAGTGAGACTACTATGTATTAATCAAACATGACTTGCATGCAATCACATTATTCAGTAGTTCTGGTTTGGAAAGAAGAAACATCCTAAATAGTTTGCAATTTTCAACTTCAATCCACATCAAACGTAAAGGTATCTTTGGCAAAGATCAGGTACCTGTGCAGCATAAGGTGTTATGACTCCAATATCAGAAGCATGGACTCCAGAGGAAACAAGTCTTTTTGCATGAGCAATCGCAACCTCAGCTTCGCCCTCGTTCAATGTGCTTTCCTCCTCATCTTTCTTTTCTTCCATGTCACACCTAGAAATCCACAAAAGCAGACTGAAGTTTTCAGAATGAACAATCTTACTCTGTATAAGTGACGCAATGAAATGAATAATTTGTTATTATACTGAAACAGCTTCAGTTGTGGTAAGGTTTGTATCGTCGCAATTACTTGTTCACATTTTGATGATACCATGATACTTGACTAGCTGTCATTTGCAATATTTCTTTTTATATATCTCTGTTAATCTACGAATGGTGAGATCGTACATAACAAGTTTGCCTGATACCACAGACAGTATATTCGATATTGTGATTTCAATTTGCAGTAGGGAAATGCCAAACATGGTTTGACCTCTGGAGAAAAACACATAGGCAAGCATATAACGACCCACATACCCAGCTATGTCAATGAGAAGAAGGGTCGGTTCAGTTGAACTTGATGACTTCACATCCTCAAGATCAAAAAGCCTATGGGCAGCAACGCTAGAATGAGCTTCAATCTGTCACAGATATTCAACTAATCAAAATCAGCAACATAAACAATATTGTTCATTCAATAAAATGAAGTTCTCTTTCAGAAATCTATTCTTATCATTAATCGAATAAGCACCTTACTGTCGTAGAGCTCCTTCGAAGACCAATTCATGATGAGCTCATGCATGCGGTACTGAACAGTAAGCATGGATGTGACTTCATCTCCATATAAAGTTGCCAGGCGTTCAAAGAGTGTTCTTCCTAAACCTTTCTTCTCAGCCTCAACACTTTGGATGGTCGGTGGAAGCTGAAGATGGTCTCCAACAAGTATACATCTAGCACCCTGAGACAACAACATAGATCTTATAATGGTGCTTGAGTGCCGGCATCACTAGCTCTTCAGATTCAGCTGTCCTATTTTAACATTGTCTCCCATCCTTGCTGCCTGAGATTGCTGTTAATTTGGAAAGGGAAACCTTCCGCTCACATGAGACTATAAGATCCTAGTTTGAGAGCATGGTCATGATTTTCGCTTCTATTTCCACTTGAAAATGAAAAATAGTGGTGAAACTGCTCTAGGTGACATTTGAGAAATTGCTTTCACTTGAAAATACAGAGAAGTGTTTCTGAATTTTTGGCTCACCAAGTGAAAACAGATTTTTTTATTCACTCTTTCAGCAGAAAATAAATAACACAACCGAACACGTTTCATAATTTGCATTCTTGTTGAAAATTTCTTTCATGAACCAGTGTTCAAAATATGATTTTTCTATTGATATGCACACAAGCTACCAAACAATTAAGCAAAAAGATGGCTGTTATTTCTCCCTCAGGACAAGGGCAAGAACATAGTGTTTGACTGCAAAAAGAAAAGAAAAAAAATGTGCTCTGTCCAATAACAACACAGGTATTTCTACTCAAGTTAATATTAATATGCGTCACTTCAATCACTTACCTTCAGTATAGCTAACCAGCATGCTATCTCAAGCGCCTGAGCTGCTTCATCAATTATGACTAAATCAAATGATGTTTTTTCCAACTTTCGAGAAAATGCACCAGTCAATGTCGACAATACCACATCTGCGTTCTTAATAACGTCTGTCACAGCAAGCTGCTGCCTCTTGCGCTCTTCTTTTGAAAGAGCCCTAAGCTCCCTCTGAATGTCCCTCCTGGTGTGTTTTTCTTTGGTTTTCAGCAGCTTCCCATTCAATGCCTAAATGAAGCCCCCAAAAAAGTACATAAATACAAGAGTTTGACTGGAAGGTAGGAAAGTAAGAAGAACAAGAAATCCAAACTGAACCGGGACAAAAAAATTTTAGCATCAATTCAGTCCGGTCCAATTTTCAAGTGATTGAGCCCTCAAACCTTAAAAAACTCAAAAGCTAAAATGAATTGTAAAATATTTTCCTCCCGCTAACCCTCCAATGGCCCATTAGTATTTCAGATTCCCAAATGCTCAATGTCTCTCGTAACACCATTTACATGAAGCTAATAGTAAGTATATAATCTTCAAGCACCATCACACATAAAACTTCCATCTGAATTTGTTCATACCTTCATTTCCTTCCGGATGTCGTTTGCAAGCGAGCTATTATCTGCTCGGAGGACCTATTAGCAAGCAAGTAGCCATAACAAAATGAGACTGAGCTGGTGTAATGTCTATATTCCGCTGCACCAGCTGTAGGCCACTAAAGACAAACTAAATGGAGGCAAATGAAGGATAAAGGATCTACAACCAGGGACAGAAGTATGAATAAAGTAAAATTAAGACAGTAGTTGAAGCTCCAAATTATCTAAGCTTCTCTATTGGCATACAAACAAACTCCCTGTCATGTCCAGTTAAGGCAGTACTTGAAAACAACTTACACACCTGTGCATCAAGTGCACTATCCAATACTTGAGGCAGCAACCGTGCAGGATGTCCCAACCTCACCAGCTTCACTCTGGTATTACAAAAGGAAAAGTTTCAGAAAGAAATGGAATGAAGAGCTTTAGCTAGGTAATAGAGGTCTCAAAAGTGAAGAACTCAAATTCATGTCACTCATAGGATCTAAATTATGAAAAGTTAAGACAACCACACTAGATGATTTTCCATCAATCGACCGAAAATTTTCTCACTTCTAGAACATACAGAAAGCATCAACACTTATCACAAACAGTAGCCATCAGGGCTGATCTATGATGGCTAGAATTCCTTTGAGATGCCCAAAATTAAGAGAAGCCAAAGAATAAAATCGAACATCTAGATAAAACAGAAAATGCTTGCTTAATGAATGTTTAAAACCATATCTCAGACTTTACATGTAGAGAGAGAGAGAGAGAGAGAGAGAGAGAGAGAGAGAGAGAGAGAGAGAGCTAGTTAAGAAACTTAAGATCAAGAATTTGAATACCTGTGAGAAGCAAGTCGCTCAACGATGTTATCAACAGCAATATTTGAAGCCGCACATGCAAGGATTTTTGATCCACGCTTTACTTCCTGTAAGATAATTTCTACCACTGTTGTGGTTTTCCCGGTTCCAGGAGGACCATGCAGCAAGAATACATTCTTCGACGACAAAGCCTTGGATACGGCATCTTTCTTGGGAGAAAAAATGGTGACAATTTTTAGTCTAGAAACATGAAGCATAATGAAGATCAACAATGAATGCATAACATCAATAAAATATCTTCCCACACAAAAGAAAAATGCCTGAAAAGAATTTACGTACCCATTGGAACTTCTTTAGTCAGATCAGACAAGTGAAATCTAAGATAATTTCAAGTTAAAATTATGCGATGAGAGATTTATATCAGCTCTCATATGTTGTTCCTTTTCAGAAGTAAATTATAGCTCTTTAGAAAACGCAATCTCTCATGCACCAAACTACAACAACCTCAATGGATGAAGCTCAAAAGTGGACACGACTTTATCTTTAAGTGTCTTCCTGGCAATAAGTCAAATACATATGACTTTATATACAGCTAATCAACCAATCCAACGAAAATTGATGCTGAAACAAATAAAATTAAATATTTCTCAGGTGCTAATGGAACATACCTGAGAATGATCGAGGTTGGTGTTAAAGGGGCGGACTGCAGTATCTTTCTTTGAGAATGCAGGGGGTCTTTCTCCAAAGAGAACAGGAACTAAATCGGCAGCTGGCCCCTTATGTACACCTTTACTTAATTGTATTAGAGCATCCTTCAACCTTCGGTATGTCACCTGTGTGGAAGTCGTAAATAGCATC